AACACTTCTCTTCGATGAATAATGCAAAACAACGGCATGTGCCAGTGGGGGTAACACACGCATTGAAAAACAAAACCTGAACCAGTAATATTCTATTTCACTATAGCTTGCGACTTCATCATGGCCCGCAGGCCCGCTTTGTGCCAGTGGAGAAAAGCTAATATTTCAATAGATTTTACAATTCAGGGAATAGGAAAGCCGATTTTCACTGATTCTCCAGTTGGACAGGAATGAGAAATCGATACCTATCCAGCCACTCCGAAACTTCCCACATTTCCGATTCCCCAGCTCGGTGCGTATGCATTCATTTTCGTGGATTCCCCCATCTCCCAGTTCTCAAAGCCGCATAGTATGAACATCCCTTATAACTCCTTCACGAAGGGCAAAATCGACGAAATTTGAAAGTTTGTATGCGCTTACCATCCAAATCTTAGCCGTCAGAGGTTGGGCCTCTTCCTCCAAGGGATCTAAGTCTGCCGCCACATCTGAGCTGAGGGAAGGGCGGCGCCGTTAGCATTGGTTGGAGTCTGGGTTTAACCAGAACTTCCATGCCTACCGGATCGGTAGCTGGTTATCAGTCTCGCCTCAGCCTCGCCCAGGAAACACGCTCTCCACCTTCATCGGCTGAACCGTTGAGCCCGGAAAGCAATAGTGTAGACCATCGCATTCAAAATACAAAACGATTCTCAATGGAAGTGAAATGTGCCCGAATACTTCTTTCTTTGCTCTCGGCCTCAAAAGGGTTTGGAAACTTTCCTGTCTTGGGAAACTTCCGAATAAGCTGGATTCAGATTGGCCTGGTTGTCCAAAACTCTGATAGAGAGCTGATAAGTTGTCGGAAGAATGGAAAGCTTTCTGAATAACCCAGAGCTAGTAAGTAACTACCCAAAATACGAAATATAATAGTTCTCAGAATACGCTTTCACTGCAGCATGTTCCCTTCTCTACCACTCACAAAAAAAATCCCTTTTACCATGAAGTCCCCCTACAATACCGTTCGCCTCACTATTTATAGACAGGAAATCCCGTTGACCTTGCCCGACTCACCATAGTAATGGACGCTGCCGGCCGGGGGAGAAAACGAAACAATCGGATTTCAGGCCGCAGCCAATCACTATTACGACTATTATGCACTACCCACAATTCCGAGTGTATACTCCCTCGAGAGACACTGATGCTTCCCCCATCTCTCCCACGCAGCTCCCCGACCGCATTTGGGGACGACTAACAACATGCGAATTCTCCAATTATCTCGTCCAACAGACGACATTAACGACAGCAGTGCAGCCCCGAAAAACTTCAGTATGCCATGGGCACGCTGCAACAACGTACAACTGAGAGGTCCTGCCTGTAGTGCCCTTCCATATACCTTCAGAAATGGGAATTCCTCAATCACCTCAGCACTCTTGGAGAACTGTCCAGTTTCCGTGCCAACATATTTGATCCAACGAATAAAAAACTCGAAAATTTCACTAATCCACTGGTGTTGATTTGTTCAAAGCGGATTACTTGTAGACGTACCGAAAAGAATCAGTCGAATACTAAATTTGCCTGGTGTTATCATTTTGCAAAGCGGTTAAGTTAATCTACCTGTTTCGTGCAGAGACAGTTTCCCGCTCGGTCGCGCGGCCATTTCCACATCAATTGAGGACTGCACCTATTTGAAAATGCGCGCACGCTTCCCACAATGCCCTTTGAAAACTATATTAGATAGCAATTCTTGATCCGGGGTGACGTACAAGCATTATCGAGTTGTGGAGGGCCACAGCTAGCAGCACAGCTCATTGTTTTTTTCCCTCCCAACAAGTTCTGGCACCCAGCAAGAGCGGGCACGATTTAATCAGTGCTGATTATCCTCCAATCTAGGCATATGCTATTTACCGTCCGCCAGGGAGAGTGTAGGAGGCGTCTCCTCGGCCTAGGCACACAGCTTATCCAGTGGATTATGACGGCGAACTTGTACACTCGCCATACCGCGTTGCCAGGCAGCTCAGATACACCCTGGCGCAACTTAGGCTTAGGAATGAGAAAACTTTGAAAACAAGAAGCAGCATGAAATCTGAGCCTACTTCTCCATTTTTCTCGAAAGGTTCTGGCTCACCCTTACCGGCATTGGCATCTAGTCGCGGGGTGATTGGAAGTTCTTATCAGGTTTCGTAAATTTCGACGGTACTGATAAAGCAGTAACAGAGACTATGGGTGCAGAGCAGGCAGAATGTGAAATTCTTAACGCGTGCGGGGTGACGTACCCTGGTGTCCGTTTGTCTGTGTCTCGCGAGGTATCTAGTAACGTACATTGTGACTACAGTTGCTCTTACGTCGACGCGAGCTCCCCTTCAGATAAGGCGAGCGGTGTTATGATGCTTATAGCAAATGGTGAGGCTGCCCAGAAAGGTCTTGAGAATGCAAAAATTCTACAGCTGGCACCTGCTGAACGAGCTAACCATCAAAGGTGCGGTGACTAAAAACTTCCCTTTACGAATAGCATGGCCTAAAGAACGGATCGCACCATCCAATCCAAATGTTCCATCCCTCCAAAATGTCGAAAATTGACGTTTTCAACATAACAAAAGGGAAATTACTAGAGGTATCGTATCTACATGTTCGGCACATTGCTCATAAAAACGAATATGTGGAGCATCCCGAGGTCGAACACCTACATCTTCCAGCGAAAATCATCCATATTTAGAGCGAGTCATCTATAGTGGACCGATGATCGGTCGGGGGAAGGGAGTGGGGCGTCAAGAGGGACGGGGTGAGCCGGTCTCCCACTGTCTTACTCTATCAAAAGTGATCGATTGGTGATCGCTCAGGATGAAAAAACCAGTGGTGGAAACGCCACAGACTCGTGCCACCCCTCTTGACACCGACTGATTGCGACGATATCAGCTGTACTCGGTAGCTTCATTACAGTGGCTCTCCAACCAGAAGTGAATGACACCACTCTTACATCTGTGACCATTCCATTCACCAATACTACTCAAAGAGCAGACCTCGACTCCTCTTGAGAGGCATCATGTTCAGTTAGCTGACAGGGAATTACACTAGTCTGAACGGTGTGAAAATTACGGAAAAAACGGGGATTTCAGTCGCTGTGGCAACCTTCTCCGGCACTATGGTGATGCTCAAGAACAGGAAAAAATGCTAACAGGAAAAGCTCAAGGTTCTCACAGCCGATCAGTCCCTTTCAAAAGGCGCCACGCACTCTAAAGTCATCCAAATTTTGAACATCGTTTGAACTTGTGGCTAACATAGAGGTGCATCTTGCGTCTACCTATGAGAGACGACTCCTGTGCGAGGGAAGATAATGTGGACCGCAATGGAAAATCTGGCATCAGTTTTGCGTCAGAAAGTTGTACGTACCGGCGGCAGGGAGGAACGTTGCACAAGTGACTCTATCAAAGCGCAGGCGTGGTTTTTGTCATCTTAGAGCGCGTTCAGACTTCATGATCGCGCGATCGCGAAGTCTGAACGCGCTCTTACTCGTTTGTGTCTTCCCTTGCTGCTTTTTTTGGTTCATGTCTCGTCCGAAAGTCCAACGAATCTTCGCCACTTGCTTGGAACGGAGAAGGCTCTCACTTTTGGACGTCCCCATGCTCCATCTGTCGCTTTCTCGAGAGCCAAGTCAACTGCCGCATATATTTCTGTTTTTCAACGCAGCCACCCACGATATTTTCGGCAGCATATCGCAAAATAAGCCTTTGAATAATGACTTGGAATGACAGCCGCTAAATATTCTTTCTTCCAGACAGATATTGTTTTTTTTTTGTCAAGGGAACCTGACAACGATGGAACGGGTCAACGCACCGGTTATAAGCTGCCTCACTGGCAGCGAGGAGCCAGCGTTCTGCTATTGACAACACTTTTGCAAATTACGACACCATCCTCACAATTCCATTCTCTAGTACGCCCCCGGCCTTTGCCATCACACGTCCTCTATCGACTTGCCAGAGAATTCTTCACCTCCCTCCTACTTCCTCAGTTTTTTATGAAAATTTTGCACGCTTTTCATTATAAGATCTGCCGCCAACCAGGGGCCCCACAATCATTGGTTTGGGGATATTTAGCGCGCAGTCTTGGAGAAGACGGGCGGCGGGGCATGTTGCTTCCACATAGAATGTGCGACCCATACTAGATTAGCCGTTTTCCGAGTTGACGACGCTTTTAGGGTAGTGGCTAGTCAATTTTACTTCAGCTTCACGAGAGTTGACAGGTATTACCAGAGTGAGATTTGCTAACCGGAATTAGGGAAGCAATGACAATACAAAATGCCCCCAGTCGACAAAACACGATAGGCCGCGTCCGGATTTCTAGTCAGCCGCGTGCGAACCCCCCTCCCCTTGATAAATAGCACATCGTGAAACAGGAAAAGCCCACAGACAGATATGACCACACGCCCCCCCCTTCGCACTATTCAGATTATTACCCAAAACTCCTGCCACTTTTTCGAAAACTTCCGCGAGAAATTCTTACTTTCTCCAAAAATTTTGATGTCGAGCATGGGAGGATATATTAATACGAGATAGTAACGACATGAAACCAGGAAATCACGAAAGACCAGCCACCACTCCTAGAATGCCAGAAACAGATACACCCCCCCCCTCCCAACATGAGCAGGCAATGAGATACCCTCTTTTACAACGTCCGTAAGGAGAAGATCAACAATCAAACATAAATTTTCTCAGCCAAAATTACGGCCTTCCTCTCTGGCGCCAAATACGACGCCACCATCTGCTGGCGAATTCCCCACCAACAGAATGTGCCTTGGAGGCGCAGAGCGAGCAGGAGTACAGCGCACTAAACGGAAAACCGGGTGGAAAAAACGAAGAAAAGTACAACAACCGTAAACACTGCTCTCATGTGAATACGTCCCCGCCTCCTTTAGCGATCAGCTACGACCACGCTTGCTGGGGATTCCCAACTTAGGAGTGCCCTGATTGAGATGAATTTGCCGCTAGTAAACTGCGTCAACGGTCAGCAGCGCCTGCAGATACTCTCTACTAAATACCGGGGAAGTAAAAGTAAACAATGGGCATATCAAGCGATTGGCGATCAGTTAAATCCAGGCGCCTTCAAAATTTGGTTAAGTTTTGGCCGCTTTTTCTTATCAAATAGTTGATGAGCATGAAACTCACTGGCTTTCAGCCATCACTTCATCTTGTGTTCGGACCTGTACTGGAGCGATATCTTCGGTGTTCACATCCGGATTCTTCAGACAAGAGTTTATCCTTTCGTCGAAGTTACCGACGAGATCCTAAAAAAAGCCGTACGTTGTTCTGCGTGCAATCAATAGAAGTCAATTAATCGTTACCTCTAAAGAACTTGATAGATCGTCGTTCAGTCGACTCTCCTCACCAGACGACACCAAATTGGCTTCGTCTTCGCTGAAACAGAGATCTAATTATGCAGCGGGCCGACAGATTAGTAGGGAAGAAAGTGTCAGGAATGGTAAATTCCGGAGGGATTCGATCGGGAACAGGAGATTTGGCCATCTGGGCAGTGTTACCAGGAATGAATAGGTTTAAAGTCTCTCTACTGGTTTATTTTCCAAGGCTTACTCTGACTGCCAGAGTGTGCTGGGGCGTGTCATGGGCTGCGTTTGGCGCACTTGTTCTCCATCAATTGTTGAAGAGGGCAAGTGACAGCAATCGGTGGAAGACGGACTGGCGCGGCGCCAAATCAGCCCCTTTGACACGCCCCTCCATCGGCAGCGAATAGGAGCGCAGCCCGTTTTAGGTTAACAAACATCTTGGATAGAGAAGATCACTAATCATTGAGCTCTTAGACAAGAAGGATGGATATCATTCCATTCATTAAGATTCACTGATTAATTAGCGACACTCGAATTTAGTGGCTTGTTTCTCTTGGAAAAATTTAAAAAATTCTCATTATTACGTACGTCTATTGTGATATTGCTTTCAAGAAACCAAAACCAACGCCTAAATCAAAAGATTGTACCTGCAGCTGCTCATCAAGAAGACGTTTTCAACAGCACCCCTATTGGTGTTTTTAATTAAGTCCTCTCGTTTTTATTACTGCGCTCTATATTTTTATGGAAAACTGCTGCAGTGTAATATTGACTGCTTTGGAGCCTAAGCGGAGAGCCAATCGCTGAGAAAAGGCAAACGATTCCTTCTTTTAGGGGTTGAATTGATTCCACCATAGCTCGGAGCCGCTGGCCGCCGCATTGTGATTGATTATGCTGGGACGTTATTCCTCAAATGCACATCCACGTTCAAAAATGGTGAGTTGCGCTTCTCAAATACCGAAGACAAGATGGTAAATAATACCAGAGCGAAGCAAAAAACAAGAGAAACAAGTTCGAAGTGCTCCCATGTAGAACCCCATGCTGAACCGCACTTATACCTGCAAGAAAAGAATGGGAGTGGTCGGACGAGTTCTCACTTGTTGGTTTCAGCACTTTCTCCTTATCACTCCATTCTCAATATTCGCAATGGAGAGTGTTAGTAACGGAACAACCGCACCATCAGGTAGCAGTTAAAAGGGAAGGTTGGGCGTACCTATGGCCAGTGGGCGGGACGGTGGCTTCGTCACGAGTGGATCGCGCTTTTCTCACGTTTTTTGAGCTGCGGGATTGTACATCCTCCATATTTGCGGACAGGACTACCATGTCCAGAGAAGGCGTGTGAACGTGAAATAAATGCGCAGCGTGCCTTTAACAGACCATGAGAGGCAGCAGGATCTCGGAAGGTTCGGAAGAAAGATGATAATTTTCTACAGTCAACAGCACCCGTCCAGACAACGCCCGTCAGCGAATATACAGCCATGCAAGACTAAGGCCATATATTCGGCCTTGTCCGGACAGGGTGTTGGGCTTAAAACACGTACAAACTCTGGTATGATTCTTAATGGGAGTTTAGTGCGCGGCACACTCTGGGATGCAATAGGCCCTCTTGCATGTTCTTAACCTATTCTCGCAGTAGCTTCCATCTCTCGGCCGTCCCATAGAGTGCGCATCCTCGACACATGGAAGGGCTCTTGAAAGTTCATTTTCGTGTTTATGAGCTAACGACATCTGCTTGCGATACGGTCGTTGTGTTTTTGCACCGTCCGCTTGATGGGCCCAAAAATAGCTCAAGGTTTTAGAATCATTCACATGTAGCCAAAGTTTACAGATGAACATTTCTAGCGTATAGGAAGGCCAGCTTCACATCGACAGGACAACTAGCCAGCGTCCTCAAAGTATTTTTCAAGGCCAGCACTTTTTGAACATCAGAAGATGCAGTTGTCTAGGTGAGTATCAAAACTTGCAGATGCATTTAACAATTTCAAAATGGGCCTTTCAAATTAAATATGTTTCGAAAACATTTCTCAAATTATACGAATTCCCAGAAGTGTAAATCGAACAAGTTTGATTGACAAGCTCCGAGCTTTTGGTTTTTCCACGTTATTTGGTGATTACTTATAAGCTCTTGGTGGGCTTCAGTTCCCTTTAGGTTGGGCGGAGGGGGAGGAGGGGGTTTTCGTAGGTTCCTATCAACCTACCGAGAGAGGATACGAAAGATGTGACACATAACAAAATAGGGGGGGGGGGCGTTTTGCACTTTTGCTGCTTCCTGTCGACCCATCTAGACGGCCTCTTCCCGGGTTGACAGGTTTCACCATGGTAGCTTGACGAGCTTACTCCAGCTCACAAGAGTTCGCAGAGTGATAACTATGTAAATCGGGGAAAGACCCGGACTAGTGAAGGCAACGCGAGTGCGAATGTGCCCCTCCTGTCACGAAACTGCACTCAAAAATGGCAAGCCAACTCTATTTTTGAGTGGCCACGTAGCACGCACTATTGAAGCAAGGCAATAACTATACTTGGATTGGCGTTTGACGCAATGCTAGTGGATCTCGTCAAACTTTCAAGCTTCTAATGAATAATTTTATTTAAAATATTTTAGACATTTATGAGATATCCCAGCAAGAAATCTGTGTGCGAGCTCGGGTTGTAGAAGGCCTTCTTGGTTTACCAATCGCTGCTGTTAAGAACTGGACATTTCAGAAAGGAAAAGCATGGCTGATTCAGGTGGAGTGTAATCTTCCAGTCATCTGACTGTGAAACGTCTTGTCCTGTCGCAGAATAGACACCACTCAATCAACGCGTGTGCAGCTGCATGAAGATTCCGAGATATTTGGAATCTTTCCACTACTACGCCCCACAAAAAATAAAATTTGCTGTCGCGATACGACGAGCTCTTCATACCCATTGACACTGCCAGCGTCCCATGAATCTCGTTTTGTTTCCTGGCAACCGTGCACATTTCTAGTCGATCGGAGAGTGGCTCCATAGGAGATGTCTTTATTGCAATGATTCAAGCACTCTTTGCTGCATCGACATCAATATGTCGCCAAAAACTTACAAAAATGCCCACCCCTACTCAAGGAAAATGGCGCCGAGTGCTCTTCTCGTCTGCGTTGTCCCTCATTCGTAGTGGCTGAGTGACACTCATGAGCCAAGTGGACCCCTCTGGAATCCCGTGGAACATATGGTCGTGACGAGTGCTTGTAAACTCGTCACAGAACGCCAGATGTTCGCGCTAGCAATGACATTCGAGCCGATCGCTATGTTTAAACTTGGATTTGGTTGTAAGGACTCGAGAAGCCTCGCGTGAGTTTGAGGGAACCATTCCAACCTCTAACGACCCAGCCTTCCGTTCAATCTGACATATAACGACATAATTGCTTACCATAAAGCCTATGAGGTATGGCTATCTATTTCGCAAAAACTTTAAAAAGTAGTATCATCTCATTCACCGAGGACAGGCACAAGGTGCTGCTCCATGTCATTAATCTATTATAATTGGATTAAAGGCAACATGATTGACATTCACCACATTTAAAGCGCTGTCTTTCAAGAAGTTCGAAGCACTAATTTCGAATTACAATTGGGTCTATAAAAACGGTATCCTGTTTTAGGGAAGGAGTTTGAAGGAGAATATGTATATGGGGTAGTTCGACGACGTGGGGCATTTTGCACTTTTGCTAATTCCCATCGACGTGACGACCCATCTAGACAGCCTCTTCTGGAGTTGACAGGTTTTACCATGATGGCTTGACGAACTTGCTCCAGCTTCACAAGAGTTCACAGGTTTCAGCCAGAGTGAGACTTGTAAACCGGAACTAGTGAAGCAGCGGAAGTGCAAAACGCCCCCCCCCCGTAATCCATCGCCGAAATAAGTACCTATCAGGGGCGATGATCGCAAGCAAAGGTTGTTTCTGTGATAATAATCTTGGAGGGCATTTGAAGGAATCTTATGGTTAGCCGAAAAGAAAACTTTAGCCAGACATAGAGCCCCTCGCCCCTAAGCTCAGGCAGAAATTCCTATCCCTGTTCGGTAACTATGGTTTTGTAAGAAGAGTCCTTCAACTCCCTTGTTCTGTGTAATTGGCGCCGTTGTCTCTTTTAGCAGTATTTCATAAACAAGTATTCTGCACAGGTAACCAATTCGAACATTGAAGTAAGTAACGTTCTCTTCATTTTTGATTGCATCACTTGGGTATTTATTTTAGTTCCACGAGTTTGTGACGCACCATAGAGTAATTTTATTAATAAATGGATAAATAATAACAGAAAATATGAATAAATAAACGTTATGATAATCACCTTTAATAACAATAACAAAAACAATAATGGTGATAGAAGTGGAAGCTAGAAGCTAAATTTCACTTAAAAGTGAGCCACGCATCCAGCGTATCAAGGGTTCGATTTCGGGTCAATCTCCTTAGAACAAGAAGGATCCCCACAGAACTGGTGTAGCTGTCCCTACTGCCCTCAATCGCATGCCCGCTTCGTGCTAAATAAAAAGTTTCCATTTAAAACGGGTAACATGAAGTTCCATAGCATGGCAGTTCTCAGAATGGGGTATTGATCGCTCCCAACAACGACAGTCCAAAAAAGGTCCAGAATGCGGGTGTTGCGACAAGTTTTCGTTCAACTTTTCGATTAAACAGATAACTATAATATAAGTACTTCAGGTGAATACATATTCAGATTCAGACCACGATACAGGGCAGGTAAGGGTCAGGCGAAATGGCTGAAAACTACGTTCGGGGAGGGGCAGCAACCTAAATGGAAAAAATTATTGTTTTCAGCTATGGTCCAACCTTAACTACCCAGATCTAGCAGATATGGTCAGGTTTATGGTCAGGTTTATCCTCGAAGGGGCTGCCATGGTGATTGCGGTTCTTCAGTTCCACCTTTTCGCAGGCAGTCTTTCCGCCGCTTCCAGTTTTATACCATTCGTTAACACTATTTATTCCTACCCCTCCCCACACGAACTAGCTTGCGGTTGGGTGGAAGTTATCTGTGTAATTAGAGCCGGGCCAACATCCTTCTGACTGCTCCACTTTTCGGACTCGCAAGTTTTGTATTTGTTCAGAGGCACATTCCGATTTTTGCGTGTCTTCACACCCTCCACCTCAATCGAAACGTCAACAAACGCGGCGGCTATTGAATCGGCGCCTCGTCGGGGCCATTGTTTGGACTACCAGAACAAGCCGTTGGAACAACAGCGGCCAGTGTGCAGACTCGCATGATGTAAAACTGCCATTCGCATAAAAAATGCCCTTGGGACGAACTCCATAGGAAGTTCAATAAGTTTTCCCCCACAGGGGGAACTTCACTGGTTACAATGGGAACACTCTCTAAGCACAGGGTCGTTTCCTCACTCAGATGAGAAAATTACCTTTTGGGAACCAAGCGGGTCGGTCATTTTCTCATTGGCGAGAAGAAGTGACCCGTGGGAAACCAAATGTCTTGACACCAACGCCAGGGAAATCCCCTTCGCACAAAGTTACCCAGCTTTTTTGCATGGGACCCCATGGCGAGTTCGCGAATGCATTGGACACGATTGCATGTACCTCGTGAAAGGTGTGAATGCCCTTTTCCGGTCTGGCAAACGACCTTCGCCAAATGGGTTGCGCCTTTCGCCTCCATGACTCATGAGTGTCAGCAGAGGGAGAACCGACGAAGGCGTGACGGTACCCACTTGACCGTTTTCGAGTGGTGACGATCGAATTGATGAAGAATATAATGGGTTGCCCTAACGACGGCTTTTTGCAACGACAAATGGAATCGAAGCGTTGACAGACGGCTGGCCCTGTACAGTTCGGCCAGAATTTAAGGCCCTGTCAGTGGACGGCCTTCTTGAGCATTTTCAAGTATCTTACCAGTGAGTCACCAGAGGAACCGATCCTTTCATTTCATCCGAGAGAGAGGCTGTGGAAATTACGTAGCTTGGCATGCGCGTCTTTGGGCAGGAACTCTAGTTTGACTGTTGTGGGACGCACAATTGCTTCGGCTTAGCCCCTTTTCCAAGCACGGCGATTCAAGGGCAGTTCCCATGTGGGAGGACTATTATTACCAAGCCAGAGAAGCAAGAATCTTTCAAATAAAGTTCCAGCGGAGAAGGAGCAGCAGACGCTGTATTTTCCCGATAAGGATCATGTCGCTCGCGAGTGTTCGGACGACGAGAGTGGAGAGGGGGGGGGTATTTTGGATTTCTCGGCTGCTTTCGGGTTCAGGTTTACAAGTCTTACACTGGTAAAACCTGTTGACTCTGGGATTCATCATGAATTTACAATAGATGGCAGGCACTCTTTACAAGAGTTGACAAACGGTCTCTACAAACTTTGGCTGGTATCGCTTCGTGGAAGATTTACAGGTTTCCATTTGGTGGCTCGACTCATCAGTGAGAAGCAGCAAAAATGCGAAATTCTCCACCCCCCCCCCGTCGCCGAACTGCACTCTGTAACCCTGGCAAGGGAGGTGGGACATGTAGCGCATTTCGAAACGGGTTCAGTGCATGTTGAAAGAGAACACACATGAGTCACAGGAGTGAGGCTCATTCTCCTTGTGCACTCCTGAGAATGCCGAAGAGATGCTTTGATGGTTCGAATCCCTACGTTGCCAAATTTTTGCAATTTTTTTGTATTTCTTAGTTTTGTGTACAGACCTGGACTCTTCGTTTGAACTAAAGCTCGTAGGCATCGGAACTGTGACCCAAAAAAACGCTCTCTATCAACAAG